AAACCGACCAGTTATTCGATAACTATTTCCTGTTCAACAACAATTAGAAAAACGATAATTGTTTTACGAACTCGCATGTAATGAACAGAAAAAAAGAGTTAAGGATTCTTAACGAGCACGAATATTTTACTTTCCGGGAACACGAGAAATGCTATCGGAAACCAATAAGTCATTCCATTCGGCTCGATTGCTCGGCGTTCCAATATGCAAAGAACTAATCCAAGCAAAATGCTGGCCACAGCAATTGCAAGCCAAAGATCCCATCTCAAGGGCTTGATAAAAATCCACATGTTTAACGGTTTCTTGTTTTTGACCACTAAAACAGCTCCCGATTCGGAATACGGTAGCGAAAAATCGACGTACTCTGCTCGTGGGGCCCATATTGTTGTATCCGCCACTACCATATCGTATTCCTACATCATGTTCAAGGGAAAAAAAAAACATAACTCCAATGTTAGTGGAGACACGAATTAAAAAAAAAAAAAAGAACACCGAATTACCTCGGGTATCTTGTGAAGCATGGAATCGTAACTCCAGTTACTACTTTTGCTGTCATTGTAGATACGAAACTCGTAATTTATCGGTAGTGGCAGAACCTTTAATGCAGCTAAGAAGATATCTACATGATGATGCTAAAAAGTAGATCACCTGGGGTAGTGTAGTAAATGTATTGGGAGAGCAAAGCGGATCGGTAGCTTGACAACTTGATGATCCTGAGGTACCTGCGAAATGAACACACGTGAACTACGCCGGGGGTTGATCCGGCGGAAACCCCTCCGACGCTCAAGTCAGACGTGCTGATCATAGAATTAGTCCAGAGAATACGTATTGTAGTATTGCTCAGTTAATAGGACGTACCTTAATAAAATGAGTAAAACCTCTATTTATATGTCGTTTATTGGGTTGGGTTTGCTTTGTTGGGCCCAAACCTTACTTGAAGGTGTTTGGGCCTCGGTGATATTAGTCTTCGATATTGGGCTCGTAGCCCAGTAGGTAAAGAAATTGTAGGCCCATTGAGTTGGCCCAATTAGGCGCCCAATTAGGCATATCATTAAGCCCCCCACTCTCGAGTCGATGTGGGGGCCATGTTGTGATGGGTCTCAAATCGTGTCGAGGGTAAAAATTGTAGAAGTCGATCGTTGGCGGATGGCCTAATGGTATGCGGAAACGCGTTGGAGCGTGTGTCGGAGGGGCGTGAATGCGCGTTGGCGCATAGCGCGACAAGGTCGTCGCGATGTAACTTAATTGAGTCGTCGGTTTTGTCCCGCGACGATGTAGTAGCGAATTATCTCTTCGTGGGAGTTGTCTTGTCGCGGGGTAATAGTGCTGATCGAGTTATCTCCTCGTGGGAGTTGTCTCGTGATAATGTAGTAGCACGGATCAAGTAATCTCCTCGTGGGAGTTGTCTATGGGGTAATCGAGTTGATCGAGTTACGTCCTTGTGGAAGTTGTCTCTAGGGTAATCGAGTTGATTGAGTTACGTCCTCGTGGATATTGTCTCACGATAATGTAGTAGCACGGAGCTAGTATTCTCCTCGTGGGAGTTGTTATTTTTCGACATTGTCAATGTTTTGACGCGTTGCTTATATGTGTTTACATATAGCCTTGTGCGTGATGTACTTGAGGAGGGGATCAGACTCTCAAGATTTTTTTTTTTTTTTATGGGGGTCGTGCCCCTTGTTAGACCTCGTGGGTCTTAAGTATGTTTGGACCGTGGCCACGTTTTAATGAATGACCCATCGAAAACAAGTAGATAAATTTGAGTAATCAAGCTGGCCAGGCTATATAGATTCTCATAATGTCTCTAAGTGCTTCTAGGGTTGTAATCGTGCTAACTTGAGCTTGTGATTATATAGTGAATTTCGGGCGAGTTGTCTCCTCATGGGAGTTGTCTCGCGGTGAGTAATATTTATCGAGTGAGGTGGTTGCACGTGGGAGTTGCCTTGCAACGGATTTGTAGTATCGAGCGAGTTGGCTCCTCGTGGGAGTTGTCTCGCTGCGGGTTGTGGTACCGAGCGAGTTGGCTCCTCGTGGGATTTGTCTCGCTGCGGGTTCGTAGTACCGAGCGTGTTGGCTCCTCGTGGGAGTTGCCTCGCTGCGGGTCGTAGGATGGAGCGAATGGTCTCCTCGTAGGAGTTATCTCGTTGTGGGTTCGTAGACCCGAGGGAGTTGACTCCACGTGGGAGTTGCCTCGCAACGGGTTATATGACTGAGCGAGTTATCTCCTCGTGGGAGTTTCCTTGTAAGGGGTTGTAGGATCGAGCGAGTTGTCTTCTCGTGGGAGTTGCCTCGCTGCGGGTTGTATAACTGCGCGAGTTGGCTCCTCGTGGGAGTTGTCTCGCAAGGGAGTTGTAGGAGCATCGGATGGCGCGCGACTGAGGAGCGCGCGAACTGAGGTCGCTCTGAGCGAATTGTCTCCTCGTGGGAGTTATCTCGAAACGGGTTGTATAGCCGAGCGAGTTGTCTCCTCGTGGGAGTTGTCTCGCTGCGGGTTGCAGTACCGAGCGAGTTGGCTCCTCGTGGGAGTTGTCTCGCTGCAAATTGTGGGACGGAGCGAGTGGTCTCCTCGTGGGAGTTATCTCGCTACGGTTATGAGACCCGAGGGAGTTGGCTCCTCGTGGGAGTTACCTCGCAACGGGTTATAGGACGGAGCGAGTAGTCTCCTCGTGGGAGTTATCTCGCTATGGTTTCGTAGACCCGAGGGAATTGGCTCCTCGTGGGAGTTATCTCGCAAGCCCCCCACTCTCGATACGATGTAGGAGCCAAGTGGAAAGGGGTACCGGATCGTATTGAGAGTAGATCGGTGATGTAGTCTTGCGTTAATCGTTGGCATGGCGTGGAGAAATAATTTTTTTTTTTTGAGAGTGCACACGATTTGTTAGAGCGCGTTGAAATTCTCGCACGATTTGGTGAAGCAAGGTGAAATCGGCATGCGATTTGGTGGAGGGTGTTGAAATTAGCGCGCAATTTCGATGAAGCGCGTCAAAATATATGCCCGCTTTGATGGAGAGTAGTAAAATTTACGCGCGATTAGGTGACTGAAGGAGAGGCACGCGCGAATTAATGTGGTATGAGAAAGCGCGCGCGCACGATTTGACGATGTATAGGGGGGGCGCGCGGTGTGATTTGAGCTGACTCAAAGTGATAAAAAGTAGAGGGTGATGTGATGGATAGTGCAGACTTTGGCAGGTGCGTGCCAAACGCCCACCTGCTGCACTGCCACTTAAATTTTTTTTTTTTTTTTTTTTTTTTTTTTTATTATTATTATTGCTGAAGCGCGCGGATCGAGGCGTGGCTTTTGCAGATGTGTGCTGCCCCAAGAGCGTGTGTTGTGCACGCGCTGCAACCATTTTTTTTTTTTGTTTTTTTTTTATTTCTTCTTCCAGCGCGCGCGCGTACCGAGGACGGCGCGCGTCGCGTGTGCTGCACGCCCGCGTGCTTTGTCAGCACTTTTGGACTCTTTTTTTTTTTTTTTTTTTTCTTTTACTCTCTTTTTTCTTCTTCCTTTTCTTTCTTCTTTCTTTCTTCTTCTTTCTTCTTCTCTTTTTTCTTCTATTTTTTCATCTTCTTTTTTTTTTTTTTTTTTTTCTTTTTCTTTTTTCTTCATCTTCTTCTGGGTCTCGCGTGCGCGATTTTACCCCCTTTTTTTTATTTGGTTGATATTCACCCCCTTAGGGATGTTCTATTTTTTGAGTTGGGAGATTATCCTCGTTCCTTGAGATGGGATGTGCACCCCCTTGGGGATGTTCTATTTTTTGAGTAGGGAGATTATCCTTGTTCCTTGAGATGGGATGTGCACCCCCTTGGGGATGTTCTATTTTTTGAGTAGGGAAATTATCCTCGTTCCTTGCGATGAGATGTGCACCCCCTTGGGGATGTTCTATTTTTTGAGTAGGGAGATTCTACTCGTCTCTTGAGATGTGATGTGAACCCACTTAGGGTTGAAAGGTAAGGGTCATGCCCAACCTTAGGATGGGGATAACTGTCCACTGTAGGATGAGGCGCTCGAGACCTATGGTCTGAGGTGGATGCGCACGGTTGTGCCATTGGTTCGCGCGTGCGCGTCAGACCCTTTTTTCAGTTTTTGAAGTAGGGACGTGAAACACTTGATGGGATGTGAAACCCCTTGGGGTTGAAAGGTAAGTGGATGTACCACCCTTGAGATGAGATGCCCAACTTTAGGGTGGGATAGCCCCCCATTTAGGATGAGGCGATCACGAACCACTGGGGTGAGATGCCCAACCTTGGCGATTTATGGTGCCACGATTTCCGTGATCATAAGCTGAAGGTCTTCTTCGGTTATCTGAACCGTTCGAGAAGTAAATAGAAATTGATCATGTTGAGGACCCCGTGGGGCCTCACGAGGAGGAGCGTTGGCTCCTGCTATGACGATGTATGGTGCCACTGCTTCGGTGGTAGCACAAGTTGAAGCTTCCGCGATTATACGCTGAAGGTCCTTATCGGTTATCTGAACCGTTAGAGGAGCAAGTAGAAGTTGATCTTGTTGAACGTTCGGCGATCATATGCTGAAGGTCCTTTTCGGTTATCTGAACCGTTCGAGGGGGCGAAAGTAGACCCCCAGAGAGTCAATGACCCATGGCGAATGAAATATTTTGGGGGCAGTTGTAAGCCCCAAGGGAGTCGATAACCCTTGGCGAACGAAATATTTTGGGGGCGATGTAAACCCCAAGGAGTCGATAACCCTTGGCGAGCAAAATATTTTGGGGGCGATGTAAACCCCCAGGGAGTCGATAACCCTTGGCGAGCGAGATATTTTGGGGGCGATGTAAACCCCCAGGGAGTCGATAACCCTTGGCGAGCGAGATATTTTGGGGGCAGAGGTAAGCCCCCATGGAGTCGACGGCGGTGGTGCCATAGGTGGCTCCACATGTGGAGCAGGTGCTGGTATCGCGTTGGGAGCATTTGCTCCCATCGTGGCGATATATTAGATCACGGCCTCTGTGGCAGCGCGAGTTGAAGCTTCTGCTATCATGCGTTGAAGCGCATCCTCGGTTATTTGAACCATTCGAGGAGCAGGGAGTGATGGATCGGCGAGTGGTGGGTCCTGAGGGGGGATCACCTGAACCTCGCGAGGCGGATCCATGGGATGGGGAGGAGGTGGCAAGCCAGAGCCTCCACGAGGTGGGAGGTCGTTAGCTGTGTCGTTTTCTCTCCGAGCAGACGCCTCAGGAGGATCTTGTTGGCTACGTGATCTGGTTTGCATCGTTCCCACAGACGGCGCCAAAATGATGATGCTAAAAAGTAGATCACCTGGGGTAGTGTAGTAAATGTATTGGGAGAGCAAAGCGGATCGGTAGCTTGACAACTTGATGATCCTGAGGTACCTGCGAAATGAACACACGTGAACTACGCCGGGGGTTGATCCGGCGGAAACCCCTCCGACGCTCAAGTCAGACGTGCTGATCATAGAATTAGTCCAGAGAATACGTATTGTAGTATTGCTCAGTTAATAGGACGTACCTTAATAAAATGAGTAAAACCTCTATTTATATGTCGTTTATTGGGTTGGGTTTGCTTTGTTGGGCCCAAACCTTACTTGAAGGTGTTTGGGCCTCGGTGATATTAGTCTTCGATATTGGGCTCGTAGCCCAGTAGGTAAAGAAATTGTAGGCCCATTGAGTTGGCCCAATTAGGCGCCCAATTAGGCATATCATTACTACACAAAATCCATTTACATTTGTTTGATTTGTGGTGGGATCAATTACAACGTTAACAAATTCTATGAATCCCGGTTTCCATGGAATTCCGATTCTGAGGTCTTCAGTTTCAAGGATCGCCCGACCCTTTGGCCGCACTACGGAATTTCCGGGCCATAACACGTTTTTGAGTTCGTTTGTCGAAATTGAATTTGTTGGTTCGACGAACGACGAATTCAACTCTCTAATTATTCCTCTTTCTATAGTCCAAAATCCGAGTTTCCTCTCCCCATTTCCGATAATATTGAATATTTCAAACGCCGAAACCTTTAATTTGCCGTCGACGAGTTCGAAATCTCCGGCCAAGCCTCTGAATTTTGTGTTCGACAGCTCCCTCAGAAGCATTGGACCTAGAACTGAGATTCTTAAGCCTCTGTTATCCGTTCTGTTTTTATCCCCGTTTAGGTCTAATAAGCTCGAATTTACTCGTCGAATATTTTCTATTGCAATTGCTAATGCGGTTACTGCGTCGTACACCCATAAACCATTAATATTCACCTCGGTAATCGAACCCGAAGTATTATTGTTCAAGAGCATATTCCTTTTCCACCTTTCTTGGAAACTTTTGAGCTTTTTCGAGGCAAATAGATAAGGCCTTATGCCAAGAACTCCATCCATCGAATCACGAGCACTAAAATCGACAGAATCAAGAAAGATGGATAAGCTATCGGTTACGACCCACGCGTACCCTTCCTTCATCATCCCTGCATTACTGGCAATAGCAAACAAACGCGAACCGAGCCCGGGGCCCGCGTGCACCAAAAACACCCTCGTTTTTTTCTTCTTCAACATTTTGAGTTCTTTCAAGATATGACTATCGCTGGCTGACGTGGCGATTGAAGTCTTGCACGGCACTTCAATGCCAGCATCATGGAGAACGTTGATCGTACGAGAAACGAAATTATTACCGTATTCAGTGTCGTCTTCGTATAAGATCACAACTTCGGGCCATTCAAATTTTTGACAAATGGATGCAAGAGCATGCGATTGAACTGCATCGTCCGATGCTGTCCTAACAATGTAGCGGTTTTCTTCGTACGATACGGATGAGCTTCTTGCGGTGAAAGAAATAATCGGCAAGCGAACGGTCTCACCGATTGCGGCTGCGAATGCTTCTTGCTTTGATCCGTGAGGCGCGAATATACCACACACTTCTTCATTTTTCACTAACTCTAGAACTGCACCAAACATATTTTCACTAATCCAAGCTCACAAGTAGATTTTTTCTGCATTTCTTTTGAAAGATTTTATAAATTTTACTCATTGCTTATGAAGATTTATACTCCCGAGTAGTTAAATGTAACTATTTCATTAAATTAATAGGGCAAATTACAGCTACGCCTACGCCTGATATAAGGTCAAATTACAAAAAAAAACCCTCTTGTTTAATTTGCATAATTACAACGACCCCCTTCAACTAATTATGTATTGTCTTACGAATAAACCCTTCCAGTTGGTAAACTTAGAGGTGTCCATTCGGTATACAAAAAATTCATACCGTTTATCGTACGATTCGGTAAATAACCGAATTATCGAAATTTTATTACAAATATCTAAAAAATGTTTATTTTAATTAAGTTTAGTTTAAATACTAATATTTCATATAAAAATAAAAAAACTGATATTGAACCGAATTACCAGTTCAGTAATCGGCATGAACCGAATTTTCGTTCAGTTTGGGAACACCCCTATGTAAATTTGACAATGTAAAGGTGAATGTGTAAGGAAATCATAATTGAGGGAATGTGTAAGGAAATCATAATTACGCAGACAAGAAGAGTTTTTCGTAATTTGACCTTACCTCAAAGATGTCCGTAATTTGCCCAAATTAATAACACCTGTTTCACGTGGTATACCTTAAGCCCTTGTTTGGTTGGGGAGATCAGTCATTATTAACTTAATAATCGGACTTTGTTTGATATTTGATATCTTGCTTTTTAGGTTGTTTTTTTGTTGGACATCCCGAATTCAGATAAAATAATTGGATTTTTATTAAATTATTTTATCTTATCTCGATAACCAAATAAGGCCTAAGAGTAGAAAACATTGGGGACACTTCAAATTTCCAAAAAAAAAAAAATAAAAAAAAAAGATTCAACGGCCTAAAGTAAAGAACAGAGAAACACACAGACGAAAAAGAAAAAAGACGAAAAAGAAAAAGAAGAGAAAAACGAAAAGAAAAGTAAACGCACCGGCAACATTAACATCGAGCACGCTTTTAGCATCTTTCTTGTGCAGTTGCAATCTCGTTATGTGATTTGGATGTGCTTTGTAAAAATCAGAAACTGCCATATCCATGCACATGTTCACCATCGTGCCGAAAGTCGAATTCATGTCGAGAACTAAACCGATCCCGACCGTTGATCGCATTTCTTCCGAGATTGTGTTTTCAACGTGAACATGAAAAAGGTAGAGAAGAATTAATAGGACATGTGAAGAAAAGAAACGAGAGCATTTGGGCATTTTTTCTTTCTTTCTTTTTTGTAATGATAATCAACAATTCAATTAGTGCATGTTAGAACTAATTAATTAAACCTGAATTTTTATTTATCTTTTTAAGTGTCAGCTTGTGTGTGTATATATATATGTATATGATTGGTGCATGTTCTTCATTATTTAAAAAAATAAAAAAATGTCAAACACCGTTTTAAAAAAGAAAATTAAAAGAAAAAAAAATGAAAGGAATGTCAAACAACATTAATTAATGTATTAGTATGATTATCCAATGTCAACTGCATCAAGCAAACAAGAAAGTCAAATCACTGCCAGCTAGGAATAATTTGATATGTAATTATGTTTATTAGTTTTGGTTTTTTCTTGTGACAATCATGGATATAATGGTGTCATGTTGTCAATATTTTTCATCTTTATGTTTTTTTTTTTCTATGTAAAATTATACAATTAGAAGAGGTGAGCGTGTATATATATATTTTTATTAACATATTTAGAATAATTCGCGAAAAATAAACAATTGGGTATAAGTAGGGGTAAAAATCGGACGGAATAAATCGGAAATGATTTTTTTCAGAAAATTTCAAATTTTGTTCAGAAGAAAAAAAATGGGTTCCAATTTTCGTACCCTATAAAATCGGAATGCAAAAATTCATCATGCCGACTTCGGAATGCCTCAAATTGGTGAAATTTCGAAAATTTCGAAAACTACATGAGTTTATAATCTCTTGTTACAAATTCGGATATAATGAGAATTTCCACAGTATTTTTCTATATTTATCGATGAAATTGAGAGTAAAATGAGGTAAAATGATATCGAACCAAAATACAAGGGGAAAAGTGGAATTTGCCCTTTCTATTATTAAAATTTTAATTATAAATAATATAATTTAAATTTCTAATTACTTTCCAGTCACAAAAAAAATATAATTTAAATTTTGGCCCCAAAATAGTATTTTTCGTTACTTGCTAATGGGCGTGTGATGGCGGTGACCAAAAGTGTTAAAAAAATGAACTTGGAGGTGAACTTTGTTCATTTTCGAACAACAGAGACAAAAAGTGGAATATAACCAAACTTAAGGGACCAAAAGTGTAATTCTCCCAAACCTTATACCATTAATTTGAAAATATAAAGGGAAGACCAAATTTTTTGAGGAAAAATATTAATTTTATTAGGTATAAGAAGCCAAATCTTGAGGAAGATGAGTTCCTTCCCAAAAGTTCAAACCAACATTAGTAGCAAGCAAGTGTGCCAATTGGTTACCGATACGCTTAACAAAGGAAAAATAGCAAGAAACAAAAGAGCTACCAACTGCTAAGCATTCGTCGTCAACGTAAGCACCAAAAGACGACAGTGAAGTCTCGCCGGCTCGGAGATTATTAATTTTGCAATTAACTCCTTTTATTTTATTAATTTTGCTTTTCCTTCTTGCACATTTATTTGTATTTCTTTCTTGCTTTATATCTTCTGGACTTTGTAGTTGGTTTCAATTTTCCAGTTCCATTACTTGGCACGACAGTCAATCTGTATTCAATTATCCATATAACAATCCCTGTAAATATATTAGCCACAAAAATTGTCAGCCATAGATTAAAATTCAATGGCTTATAATTTGTCCAGCTGGCATTAATATATGTAAATCCTTCCCTCATAATCGTAGTCATGTGAACATGTTGGAATTGTCCTAACAAAAGAAGACGAACAAGAATGTTAAATTACATTTTTGGCCACTATATCATACAAATAATTTACAGTCATCCCATGAGGTAAGGTCAAATTACGAAAAACCCTTCATGTTTGGATAATTACAGTAACCCCTCGACTCTGAATTTTCTTACACGTTCACCTTTGCGGTGTCTAATTCAACCGAATCTTCGAGATTATGTGGAATATTCTCCTATATGTACCCGTTTTTACCCAATTTCAGCTCCACATTTTGAAACAAGATGACCATAAGATGTGTCTCTTAGCTTATAAATATATCTAAAACTGTCTTTCTGCATAAAACGAGTACAAATTAGAGAACAATTTACGGAATCAGGAAAATTCGGTTGAATTTGACATCATAAGAGTTTACGTGTAAGAAGATTCATAGTTGATGGGTGACTGTAATTATCCAAACAAGAAGGATTTTTTCGTAATTTGACCTTATCTCAAGAGTTAACCGTAATTTACCCAATATAAATAAGTTGGAGGTGTTTTTACCAATATCGATATATATAATATAGGGGTGTCGAATGCAATTAACTATTATAGTTCACGGAGAGAGGGAGTTTACCTGCAAGATAAAGATCAAGCACCGGTTCTGCATCCTTGATGAGAGGGAACAACAACGTAACGTTGTCGAATTTAGGTGCGCACTCTTTTTCTCAACTCCATCAATGGAAGAATAGCAATCAAAACCAGAAAATAAGAAAATAATAAGAATAAGATGAGAACTAAACAAACAAATGAAATTCTGTTAACCATGAAATTGTTTGTCATAAATCAAATGAACTTAGTTTGGCTTTGTCTGCCCAGCGCTTATAATTGAAATGCTTGCTTGTTTTTCACGGTATATATTGAATTATTCAATTGAAAAAAACATATTTCCTTTTAGGCTAAATTACACCCACACCCGTGAGGTATGCTAAAAGATTTTTGTAGTACTGGTCATTACAATCACCTCTGAAACATCGTTAGAAACTCTAATGAGATAATGCATTGGATACGTTATTTCGATAAAGTTCTAACGGGCTATTAGTTTTAGAAAGTGGTGGTGACAACATAGAGTTATGGGTGATTTAAAAAATATTGGGGGAGCCATATCACCCCCTAGCTCTATGTTGTCTAGACCACTTACTGAAACTAATACTCTGTTATAATTCTATCGGAATAACGTATCCAATGCATTTATATATCCCTTAGAGTTTCTAACAATGTTTCAGGGATGTGATTGTAATTACCGATATCACATGGACTTTAAAGTTATTTTAGGATACCTCAGAGGTGTAGGTGTAATTTACCCTTCTTTTAAGAGAAAGTTGACTAACTCCCCAAAAAATATCTTTTATAGCTTCCTCAATGAAAGACCTCGTAACTTTCATTGAAAAAAAGCTTATCGAAGTATCTGGAATTTGCTAGGGCATTATGTGGAGCAATATTGTGCCATTGTTGTTGCTGCCGCGACACATATAGCTCTGTTATAAAGATCTCAGGAGAGGTCATCTGACATCTGAAGCGCGGACAGAGAAGTTGTGTGAAGAAACAAGACATTCGAGAGTTGTACAAGAACGACATAGGATTTAAAGAGAGTTTTTAATATTTTAATAAAGTCTTATTGATATACATTGTAAATCTAAACTAGTGGAATCTTGTTTGCAAGTCATTGTGGATGTAGGTCACATTTGTACCGAACTACATTAATTTCTTGTGTTAATTATTCTGTTTTAGTAGTTATAAATCGTGTCTACACAAGAACTAGAGGCATCTCCGAAAATGAACAAGAAAATTAAATGATCTTTTCATCTTTAAATGTCTTAATTCCTCTAACAATTAGTCCAAGTAGTATGAAGACTTTTCTCCTTGTGGGGAGAAATCCAGGATTCAAATTCGAGACAATGTTTAAGGTGGGGCGAGCTTTTTTCGAAATAAAACGGGTAGCTTAAAATTTTGGGGCCAGGTTCCAAGGCATTGCCCCCGATTGTTTTTAGAGGTATTCATTAAAAAAAGCAAAAAAAAAAATGATATATATATATATATATATATATATATATATATATATATATATATATATATATATATATATGCAAAAAGAATTATTAAGAGTATAGACAAAAAAAAAATTGAAAGGGCCCAAAATCTATGTTCTTGAATCTAGCATCTTAAACAAAACTAATGGAAAAAAATAGATGGAGAGAGTGTGGTTGCTTTATTAGTATAGTACAAGGGAGGCAAGACTGAACATTGAACTAAGCTACTTGATTCGAGATCGTCCGTTAAAAGCTCGCCTGAGCTCGGTTTTGTTAGCATAACGAACCAAACTTGAACACATATAATATTTATCCTGTAAAAAACAGCAACAACAACCATTCATAAATTTCAATCAACTTAAACAATTTAGTCTTCCTACAATTATATACAAGATGGCCCCATATATATATATATATATATATATATATATATATATATATATATATATATAGTTGTCCACAAAAAAATCCATGACTTTGAGCAGCAGCAGCAGTAATCTTGATTTATGCCGACTCTCCGATAAGTCGAGCATGTAAAGGAGGAATATTCCCAGCATCTTCTCCGACTTCAGTGACACGTGCACCAGCCTCCGCCGGAGGAATATACGGGGTCCTAAAACTCGAGCAATAATAATGGATAAAATCTCCAATCGCTTCTCTCTAACGAATTAATTAACCAATAGAAAACCAATCCAATCCAATTATATATATACATTGCTCATTTGCTCGTCACGGAAAAATAAACCGCAACGGACTCAATCATATAAATAAACACCTCTTACAGAGATGTCGCGCAGATCACTTAATTCTACACGATGATCGTGTCGAACGGGCTCTATGGTATTATTTGGTATATCCGCGGCATCGTCTTCAACGACGAGTGCATGCGTCGAGTCTCCATTAGAAGGTGGGCCCCACAACGGACAAACATTTGGAGGCCAAAATGCGGCTCGCTTCGAGTAGATCAGAGCAACTGCGATAAGTGTACCTGTAATAATGAAGAGGCCTCCAAATTCATGAAAAGTAAGGCCCGATGCCCCTTGAGAGATTACGGAGGATAATGGATCTTGCGAAGAATATCCCGGCCCGAAACTTTCGAGCTCTAGGCTATTCATATTCGGGCCTTGCGTAACATTCAAGATAGCCTTTGAGAAGTGTGAAACTAACGGAGAGCCAATTGGAAAAGCCTGATAAATATAAGATAATCGCGATTATTTTGAATTAATTCATTCACGTGCGTAAAGATTGGGCGAAGGGAAACATACATATATATACTTACAAAGCCCATGCCGCCTGTCCTGTAAGTGGGTCCGACAATTTTGTACCGGGATTTATAACGGTTGAGAAAGAGTTTCATGTAAGGAATCTCGTCGAATATGGCGTCGATGCCTCCGTTTTTGCTTCCTTTAGACATAGCGTCGTTGAATTCTTCATTTGACTTGTAGGGCCTCAGCTTCGATTCACTAATACGTAGCTGCTCCATCAAAAACTTTTTCATGAACGAACCCGTGTGATAACCGACGTAGTAATCGTCCGAAAAATCGAAATGCAACTGATCGACAGTTAGAATGGCCGATAAGTTGGCAGTGAAGCTCTGCATCAGTATAAATGCCATACAGCCCCAACAAACAAGTATGAAAACCGACCAGTTATTCGATACCCTATTTCCTGCATGTCGAACGACAATCGGAAACGAAAGTTAAAAAAAAAAGAAAAAAAAAACGCAATTTCTTATATAAAAAAGTAAGAAATAGCAAGAAAATTTTACTTTCCGGGAAAACAAGAAATTCAATCGGATAGAAATGATTCATTCCAGGTGTTTCGACGCGTGGCCCAACGGCTAGTTCTTCACTAGTGTCGGCTATTTGGAGTTCCGACGCGTAAAGAGCGAATCTCAGTAAAACGCATGCCCCGATAATGGCCACCCATAGATCCCACGAGAAGGGCGTAATGAAAGTCCACATGCTGAACGGTTTCTTGTTTTTCACAACAAGAACGACTCCCGATTCGGAGTACGGTAACGCAAAATCGACGTATTCTGCTCTTGGAGCCCAAATTGTCATATCCGCCACTACCATGTCATATTCCTACACGAAAGGAGAAAAAAATTCAAACCGAATGAAAGAGATGCTTAAGTAAAACGTAAGTCGAGAAAAAAATGAATCCAAAACCAAATTACCTGAGGTATCTTCTGAAGCATGGAATCGTAACTCCAGTTACTAAATAAGCTATCGTTGTAGATATAATAATCGTAGTCGATAGAGAAAGGCAGCACCTTCAATGCAGCTAAGAAGATACCTATGCAAAATCCAGTTGCGTTTACACGCTTCGTCCCTGGATAATATTCCGCATCAACGAATTCTATGTATCCGGGTTTCCAAGGAATCCCGACTCGGAGATATTCGGTTGTAAGGATCGACCGACCCTTGGGTCGCGTAAAAGAATTTCCAGGCCACAAGACATTTTTGAGTTCTTTTGTCGAAGTCGAGTTTTTCGGTTCACCGTATGCACTCAATTCTCTTACCACTCCTCTTTCTAAAGTCCAAAATCCCACTTTCCTCTCCCCATTTCCGATAACATTGAATATCTCGAATGCCGAAGCCTTTAATTTGCCCTCGACCAGTTCGAAATCTCCGGCCAAGCCTCTGAATTTTGTGTTCGACAGCTCCCTCAGAAGCCTCGGACCTAAAGATGAGATTTCGAAGTCCGTATTTTCCGTCTTGTTTTTTCTCGTTTTCACGTCTGATAAGCTAGAATTTACAGGGTGAATATTTTCCACTGCAATTGCTAATGCAGTTACTGCATCGTAGGCCCATAAACCATGAATATTCAGCTCCGTAATCGGACCTGTAGCCTTATCCAAAAGCATATTCCTTTTCCACCTTTCTTGGAAACTTTTTAGGTTTTCCGAGGCAAATAGGTAAGGTCTTATGCCGAGAACTCCCTCCATCAAATCACGAGCATCGGAATCGACAAAATCAAGAAAGATTGATAAGCTATCAGTGACAACCCACGCGTACCCTTCCTTCATCATCCCTGCTGTATTGGCAATAGCAAATAACCGGGAACCAAGCACGGGCCCCACGTGCACCAAAAACACCCTCGTCGGCTTATTCTTTAACTTATTTAGTTCTTTCAAGATACGACTATCGTCGGCTGATGTGGAGATGGAAATCTTGTACGCTAGTTCGATGCCTACATCATCGAATGCCTTGGCCGCATGAGAGAGAAAAATATGACCGTATTCAGTGTCTTCGTACAATATCACAACTTCAGGCCATTCGAATCTCTTGCAAACGGCTGCAAGAGCCTCTGCTTGAACTGCATCATCCAATGTTGTCCTAACGAAGTAGCGGTTTTCTTCGTATGACAGGGCCGAGCTTCTTGCAGTGAAGGAGACGATCGGTACACGAACGGTTTCTCCAATTGCTGCTGCAAATATTTCTTGTTTTGATCCATGTTGAGGACCTAAGATTAATCCAGAGACTTTTTCATGTTTCACTAACTCCAGAACTGCAAAGACACACACTTGATATAATTTTTACAGTGGCAAAGCATTTCTTGGGCATTCCCCCCTAAGCGGCATTTTCACAAACACCATGCAGGCATCAAACAAATAAAATAATTAATAAATTTTCTGTTATAACGAAAACCATATTTTTGTAATTCACCACCCCTACTCCGTGTTCTCCAAAATTTCAACCAGAGAGACAACTCTCTACTACCTCGTTCACTTTCTCACTCATGGAACTAAGAGAGCGCGTCTCTATTGCTACGAGCAGTGGCTGAGTCCAGGAATTTGTTACAGGATAGGCTTAAATTTTCCGGAGTTCAGGGCCAGCGCACCCGAAATTTTTTTGCGACAAAACCAGAAATTGAAAAAGAAAAAAAAAGAAATGTAAAAAATTTATAGTTTTTTTTTTTTTGCATTAATTTGAATTTTGAATGGACTAACTAATAAAATTTGAGGTTTTTTTTACATTAATTTAAATTTAAGGTAGGCTAATTAATAAAAATTGGGCTTTTCTTGAATTAAATTGAATTTTAAATAAGATAAATAGATATATAAGTATAAAATATAGGGTAAAAAATATAAATTGAGGGGAGCTTGAGTTAGACACGGCCACGGGCCGGTTCGGGCCGGTTCCGGGCCGCTTCAAACCGGTTCACGGTTCACATTTTCCGGAACCGGAACCGGCCCGTAGTATGGGCGGTTCAGCGGGCCGGGTCGGCCCGGAAATTTTGAATTTTTTTTTTTTTTTTGAAATATTTTATGAATAAGTAAATTAAAAGAAGTACTTTTAAATAGAAAAAGGAAAAGGAAAAATTGGGGGGGGGGGGGATTCAAAAAAAAATAAATAATGGCCGGTTCACTGGTTTTTATTGAAGCTTCCTTAGGGTATGAAGCTGACACTGCCGTCTTTAAAGAAATTTA